GCATTGTCTCCCGAGGGCCGCGCACACCGGCTGGGTCGTGGTCCTGCGGACCTAATTGGCTGAGCCGGGGGTTCCGAAGAGTTTACTTTGGTTCCGATTCAGCTCTCGCAAGTTACCGCCTTCTGTTTCACCCGCTGAGCGAGGACTCTCCCAGCCTCACCCAACCCAGTCTTCCAGGAGCATTCCATTTAGAATTGCAAACCCCGGTCCCTAGGGACCCTTCGGGCTTTGTTTTTCGCCCTAGCACGTAACATCGCCTAACATCTTGTGTATATCCCATATATGTTTTATTTATTGTCTGCCTCGCCTTCTGTACAACGTTATTTCCATGAGATCAGGATTTTTTTTTTTTTTTTTTGAATAGAGGGAAGGTCGTTCCTCGCTTTGGATGTATCCCAGTACAGTATGGCCCTTAGTACTTCCCAACATATGATAGGCACCCCAAAAATATTTGTTGAATGAACCCTTTCTAATATATAAGTAGAGTCCATTCAAATATGTCTCAAATGGAAGAGACTGGGTAGTTTGATGTCTATACAATAAAAGGGTGTATACACACACACCATGGGTGTTTCTAGGTGTGCTGTGATTACCTAGTTTCGTTAGTAAAGCATCTCCAATTATGCACCAAGCCTCCAAATTATGTACAGCAGTATATAATCCCCAAAATATTGCATATAGCATAATAAACATTTTATAAAGTTAGAAATGAGACTGTAAACTCCCTAGGAATGCAAATGTGCATTCATATATATTCGTATATAATTATAGAAAAAGGAAAACACTGAATATAGTATTCAGAATGTTGGTGACATTGGAGAGGGGAGACAGAGACAGGGGTGGCAAGGCATTTTTTAACTAGGATTAGTTGTTAATGTCTTCACTTTTATGCTGGATGACCCATGGGACACTTAATACCCTATTAAAAATTACTGTGTAGCTACATAAAAAAGAACCATGCATGCACCAATGAGGAGAATGTGAAATGAACTAAAGAAGTTCATCTGATTCAATGCACCTGAGGTCTTAAACTAGCCAGTCAGCCAGCCAACCAACCAACAAGCCAGCCAAATAAAACACAAAAGGACTGAGACTTGGATTCCTATAAAATTCCACCAGTAAGTAACCTTGGACAATTTCCTTTCATTACTTTGTACTTCAGTTTTTTCATGTCTAAACTCTATATGATAAACTTGCTTTTATCTTGAAAATGAGATATGTACATAGCACCACAAACTGTAAGGCATATCCAGTTCTTGTTTTATTGTTCTTTACAGGAAAGAGCACAAGACTAGGAGTCAGCATGGAGAGAGGTGCTAGTTCCATCTCACTTCCTCACTGCTCTCTCTTGGGCAAGTGTAGCAACTCTTTTTGTTAACTTTTGAAGTAAGCCAAATGAATGTCTGATGTGCTGCACAGAGCTGCTGAGAACGGAGTGCACGCAAAGGCAGTTGTAAATTACCAACCACCGTATATGAGTATGGAAACAAAATTTTTCCCAGTCTGGAAAAGATGAGAGCTGATTTCCTGAAACTTCAAGTACTGCAAATTTTAAAATGAGATCATTTATTGTAGGATATTATCATGCTGATATACAAACTGGGAAAATTCTAGTGCTTTGGTTTGAAAGTACTAGAGATCTGTGAAGTAACAATGGGGCCAGAGTTTTCCAATCCATTATATGCTTACTATTATCTAATGGCAGAGTCAAGGAGCCAACAACCATAAAAGCATTTGTACCAGCCTAGAGTTAAAGCTAGAACTCAATATATCCTCTTTTTACATCTGAGAATCTCATTTAGTATCCTCTCAGGAATAAAAACTTTCCTTTGTGAAGGATTGTTCACACTAACACACTAAATCTTTCTGTTTTATTGTATTTTTTATTTTAAATTTTAGAGTTTGGGGTACAAGTGGGGATTTACTACATAAGTAGGTTGCAGGTGAGGTTTGGTTTTTTTGAGTTGGAGTCTCACTCTGTCACCCAGACTGGAGTGCAGTGGCTGCTCCTGGCCACCACAGCCTCGACCTGCTGGGCTCCGGCGATCCTTCCGCCTCAGCCTTCCAAGTAGCTGGGACTACAGGCACGCGCTACCACACCTGGCTCATTTTTTGATTTATTGTAGAGATGAGGTCTCGCCAAGTTGCCCAGGTGGGTCACGAACCCGCGGGCTCAGGCAATCCACTCACCTCAGCCTCCCAAAGGCGCGGGATTACAGGCTGAGCCACTAAGCCCGGCGAGGTTTAGGTTTCTAACTGGCCCCCTATACCCCGACAGTGGACCAGGTAACCAGTGTGTTGTCACGTGTCCCCCTCTCTCTTCCCTTATTTCTTCTGTTAAAACATAAACTGAGGCATATATTTTAAAGAGTTTCTCGAGTCATTTATGAATCAGGCAGTAGCAGCAAGCAGCTGTGAACTCTGCTGGAAGTGGTTGAATGGTTGAAGGGAAGGCAAAGCTTTTTTTGTTTAGAGACAAGGTCTTTCTCTGTCGCTCTGGCTGAAGTGCAGTCGTGTGCTCACAACTCAACATCCTAGGCTCAAGCAATCCTCTTACTTCAGCCTCCTAATTAGCTGGGACTACATGCAGGTGCTATCATACTCAGCATGTATGTATGTATGTATGTATGTATGCATGTTTATAGAGATGGGGGTCTCACTATATTGCCCAGGTTGGTCTCAAGCTCCTGCCTGAACCGGAAAGCTTCTATAGGGTGAATGTGGAAGCAGAGCAAAGAAATTATTTGATTAAAGTGGAGTGGTGACCTCATTTGGATCATTGTAATGGAAGGTCCATAGTTAGAGGTTAACTGATGGTTTCTGATTGGTTAAGCTTAAATTGGCTTAACTAGACTAGGAGTGAGATATGGATTATTTTTATTTTCCTCAGAAACAAGACATGCCTTAATAATCTAAGTCCAAAAATGTTTTTCATTTTGTAATTAAAATTGAAGCTACTCGGAGTGTGGTGTATGAATCAGCAGCATCAAAGTCTCCTGGGAGTTTATAAGAAATGCAGACTCTCAGGGTCCATTTTTGACCGACTGAGTCAGAATCTGCATTTCAAGATTCCCAGGTGCTTTGTATGTACCACCAAATTTGAGCAGCACTGTGGCCTAGGAGGTTTATTTATTCATGTACTTTTACAATGATAGCATGCATATAAGCAACATCAGTATCAAGAGAAAAGCACAATGCATATCCCTCTCCATTTATAAGATAATCTCACTGTCATTTGAGTGGCCAGTGGGCCTGACATAAAATCATGGCACACTCAGCTCTCTTATAGCAAGAAATGTGCTAATGCCACTGCGATTTTAATCACTATAATACAATTAAGGAGTTGAGAGGTAGCAACATAATCTACTTTGTATTGACAAAATTAAATTTTGCTTATTGTAAGTGAACCCTCCTGCATATTAAATTGGTATTGAAAATTCATGATTTACTGAATCCTTGGAAATAAAAACTGAGTGATAATGATGAGGTTAGGGTTCTTCTGGCCTTAAAAAATCAGAGGTGATAGTCTTTTGATGATTCAGCTATTCTTTTTAATCAGTACGTTTCAAACCCTGTTGTTGAAAGATGGAGTAGGAGAGAACAAAAGTCAAAATAACTGTAGACCCAAATTAAAATGACTGGTTTTTATTGTTCAACCGGAGGGAGGAACATTCGTTAAAGTTTGCCCTTTTTGTCTCTTTGACACATTGAATGAACTTAGCCAATGTTCAGGGCATTTGAATTGAAAAATATTGGGAAGCCCACACAGCAGACCCGAGGGGGATTTAGGTATGAAGACAAGTACATGAACTCTGGTGGCTAGAAGGGGGCAGCTGTGTTCTCCTAAAGGAACAAGAAAGCTGGATGCTTCAGAATCGGGCTTCCTACTAAATCAATTTAAGACAGTACAATAAGTTAATTTACATTTGCTTATTTTTTAGGACGGCGATCTTTCAGCAATCCAATAGTGCTTTTAAAGTTAGATGCACTCTCTAGCGTGTCTTAGTCCTGGTGAGAAAGCATTTGCGCACAAAATTATCTTGCTGTTGCTTCCTCCTTTCTCCTCTTACCACGGCCATCCTTACACTGATTCCCTCAGCCTCTTGCCAGCTTCATAGCTAGTTTCACACCTCCATCCACCTCCCTCTTGAACCTATCACAGTATCTTGCAGCCAGACTGCTTTTGTAAAGGTCAGCATTAATCATAAGCTGCTCAGTTCGAAAACCTTTAATGGCTTTCTATTGTCCACTAACTTTCAAAAACGTTAGCTTTTTATTCATAGTTGTAGAATAGCACTTGTTACCCAGAGTCACACCATCTTCTAGTGGCAGGAAGCCTCTTTTTTTTCAAGGCCTCCTTGCTTTGAGAAACTGTCTCATCCTTACTTTGGCTCATTTGTAAGGTGGGAAATATTTTACTACCAGGCTTTAGGGGTGGAGCATAGGACGCAGGCTGGGCCAGCCGGTGCACTGAGTCCCCATTGGTCACAGCTGGAGATGGCATATGGCCCAAGCCAGTCAATCAGGGCAAATAAACTCAGGTCCAGGATGATTTGGGAGCAGACTGATTCTTCCTCTGGACTGGATGTTCTATTGATGCCAGCTTGGATGCCAGCACTCCAATTTTGAAAAGAAAC